AAAAAAAAAGGGAATGACATTTGAAATTAATAAACATCTATACCAACACGAGTGCGTCACGGAATAAAGTAAAGCTCCAGTGACAGCTAATAACCGGTTCAGAAAAGTTCATATAGGTGAAAAATTTACAAAACGGTTGGTTGTCAGTTGTACTGCTCCGCCATAATGGAGAGGACCAGCCCGGACCACCCTGTAAAGGGGTAAGCACCGCCACCCTTCCCGGTATCATCGTCGTAGTGTTCCCATAACGTCCCAGTTTCATTAAACTCTCTCGCTAAGTTTTCTACAACGTTGTTCCGTAACTCGTGATAAATTTTAGAAGCCTGAAATTTTGAATTTTTTTGCATAGAAAAGAGGAACGGTAAAGGAGAAAGTAGCGGCTCTAACTGTAAAAGAAGATCAAACCTAAAATTAAGTTAACCATGTGTGCAAGAATAAAAACGATTAATAATGAAATAAATTTTTTTACCATTTTCTGATTAGGCCCAGGGATATGTGCGTAAAAATGTAACGCTGACAGCATCATATAATTCATATTCACCCAGATATTTCCTCTCCAGTACGGAGGGTCGTCCTTGGTGTTCCTGGCCCTATAGTATGGTGACGATTTTGATAGTGACCTCAAACCATACTTTGTCCAAAGCTCCTAAAGCATTTAAAATTAATAACGGTAATGAAAGTAAAAAGAAAAAATAATGATAATAATAATAATAATGAAAAACCACCCATTGTCCAAAAAGCTGCATTCACTTCTACTACTCACTTCCACTTCCTCATCTGCTCCTAAAACTACGTTCCTCTTCTCCGCCTTCCCCCCTTCTTCTATATTGCCATTTCCTATTCCGTGCCCATATATTCCCATCAGAAAGCATAAGACGAAGGATTTCAGTGGAAGACGACAAAAAACTGAATGAGACACAAGTTTTTGCTTTTCAATGAAACTTTTCCGGATGCAAACTACAGATGTGTTTGACAGTCAATAAAAAGTGTAAAAACTGTTCTTTGAAAACAACACATATGGAAATGTGGGAAGACTAATTAGTTAAGCAAAAGAATAGAAAGTTATGATAACAAGTTAGGCAAATTTCACCATGAATAATCCGGTATTTCAAACTTTTCCATCACCCTACAACCAACACCCACAAGCTTCTCCCTCTTCAAACAAACCTGCTTAAGTATTCAAAAAAACGTTATGCACTTTTTATCTGACTGAAAAAATGAGTTCTGGCCTGAGAATTTGCTGAGCACTCAGCTTAGGAACAGTAAATTACTTTATTTCTAATACAGACCTCAACAGTTACGAAAAAAGGACAAATACGCCGACAACAGATTTCGGAAAGCAAAAAATAGTCTCGCAAAAACTAGAAAAATTGAGAAATATAAAAAGGCTCAACATTCCATCTCTTCTTCACCTTACTTCCCTTCCTACCAACCTTTCCATAATTGCTTAACAGGCTCCCTGAAACACACCACGGTCCTCACTCCCTCTCCTCGCCTTGAAAAGTGTAGGGAAGTGAACGAGGAAAAGACTATCTCTGTAAAGGAATTTTAGTTATTAAAAAGTAACGTTCAACTTTGACACTGGACGAACTATAAATTCTCTGGAAAACATACTTCTTCAGTCCTAAGATTTTCTAAGATTAATTGGAGCTGCGCAGAATCATGGGGCAAAAGCCGAAGCATTACAGGAAACAGCGATACATAACCGAACGTATCATATACAAAGCTCCGCTTCGGTGGTTTATTGACAGAACGTATACGTGCTGTTACGATCTCACCGTTCTGATATCGCAAAACATGACCATTTTTTGTCCGGACCGGCATATCCTTAAGAGAAACTGACGGACTATGTAACCCGTAGTCACAAAATCTAGAAAAACACACAAACCTTTCACAATGGTATCGAGACAACAAACAAAAAACAATGAGCAGAAATAAACCGACTTAGAAACCTTTGCCTCTTTTTGCTCCAGTGCAGTTTATTCAAATAATTTACATCGCCAAGATAATCAGCGTCATTTTTGTATCTTATTTCAGCATCATTATCACCAGAAATATGCGCTAAGCGAGAAAGGACTCTGGCAGATACAGCCATCCAACAACGAAGGTCAAGATGATATTCCTAAAAAAGTTATAACAAACTATTAGCGTTTAAATTTCGAAGGAATAAACGCTAAGTACTCTTTCTAAACGTTTAGAGAATAAAAAATAAAACATAAAGCTTCCAGAAACTTTTTGGACTAAAAATGAACTTTGAAGAAAAAAAATAAAAATATAGAAAACAAAAAAAGAGCATTTAAACCCAATTTACTTAAACTTCGGTTCGCACTGAGCCTAATTATACCTGGTCTGACGGATGAGTTGCCCTGGGGTAATCATCAAAACCACTAGCTAAAGTTTTTGGATTCAATTCCAAATCCGTAGTATAATTTCTACCCCTCCAACGATAGGTGCCGGGTAAGGGGCCTTTCTGTGTGTCGTTTAGCCACTTATGCCAAAGCGCCAAACGAGGGTAAATTTTTTTTAAAGTCGTCACATGTTCCTCTGTTAACTGAAATAAATAAATCATGAACTCTCTATCTACGCTAAACTTCAATCTAT